GCTGCAGAGACGCTTCTTCTCCAACCTCCCCCTCTCTCTCTCTCTCTCTCTCTCTCTCTGACGTCACCGATATTTCATTCAGATATTTTCACCCCGTTTACTCCTGTTGGTGGGGACTTCTTTTTCGGATTGAGAAAATAGTTAAAACCACGTGATTTATATATATAAAAAAAAAGAGAGTTTGTTTTCACGATTTGTCTTGTTGTTGCCTCCTTAAACTAACTGGGAAATGATCCTGCTGGAATCCAGGAGTGGTAACAAATAGTCTACAGGCTCTTGAAAATGTGTCGGATTGTAAGTTTCTTGTAAAAACATTTATTGCGCCTAAACAAATATTACATCTGATTTTAAATGAACGATTTGAAGCTATTTTTGATATGTGAAGCGAGGAAATGAAGAAAATGTCTTAGAAGTTTTAGGCTCACGTTTGTAGCCAAGTATGGAGCACATGTGCTTTTGTGAGACTTGTGTAATTTTTTTCGTTGATTCAAAATATCCCTTAACGAAATCTGTGCACATGTCAAAGGAAGAGCTCAGACAAAATGCAAAAAGTATTGATTTTTTCTTCTTTTCCTGCAGAAATCTCCAAGAAAGTGGATTAAAACCAAGTACAGTCAAATTGGCCTGTGTTTAGGATTTCAAATGAATGAAAGAATTAAGAAAATAATCACATTTTGCATTTAAAACCTTTCACATGTTCATACTCCTCCAGTTCTTGAAAAATAACTCTGAGAGTAGATGACCTGCTTTGCCAGCACTGTTTACACTTCCCTGCAAAGGATATAAAAAAAGGGAAGGATTGGTGGCTGGAATGCATGAAGTAAACGACAAAAAAATAACCCCTTCACTAAAAAAGAAAGGGAAAAAGGGAGAGACGAACTGAATGAACCCTTTGAACTGCATTGACAGCAGCATGGTAAAGGCAAATTTCCTCTGGGACCCTACAGGGTGAAGAGTGGGGGTTGGGTGGGGTTAGCTGGGGTGAGGGAGTCCAAAGTCTGCTCAGAAAGTTGGTATTCAAACAACTCAGGAATCTGCTTCTGCTCATGAGGTTAAATGCTCATAATTATCTGTTTTGGTCAAGGCAACTAACTGCCTAAAAATCATAGTGATTTCAGTTTGCACCACTGCAGTCATTCCACTCTCAGACTGTGAGAGTTGACTTTCTAAAGAATTGATTGTGGCTAGTTTGAATAGCTGGTTTAAAAAGAAACAATCTTATATAGAGATAAATAAAGCAATTTATGAGTTGAATATAATTTATGACCTCCAGTTGGTGTTTACTGCAGCAAACCATCACCTACAGGATTAAAAAGGGGTCCATCTGACATACACACATTTGTGACAACTGACTGTGGAAACACCAGGGACAATGATGGACTGAAAAAGTCTGATATGTTGGCAAAATTCAGTTTTCATTGCAAATTGGTAGTTACAAAGTTTTGTACCTTAATTTGTATTATCAGAAGTGGATTACATATTCTCATACAGGCAGTTTTTTTGTTTTTTACATTAAACTTAACATGAGAGAAAAACCTTATTGTAAACATATCATCCTTATATGCCATTATTATTAGGTTAGTAATAAAAAGGTTATCAAAATATCATTATCATAATGTGATAATAGGCCAATTCATAGATGTATGAGTTCCCTCACTTTTTGCAGAACTTGATGGTATTAGTATTTTTTTTATTTTTGCTCCACTAGTAGAAAAGTGGTTGAACCTGAAGTTCAAATAAGTTTGAAAACAATCTTATACTGCAGCATGAGGGCAAATAAAAGGTTAGCTGAAGTATGACTTCTATTTGGTAGAAGATAAAACATCTAGTGTAAACTGAAGAAGTTAGTTGTATCTTCGGTTCATCTTAAAAAAAAGCCAATTCACACTTATATTACAAATATATTCCCTATATAAATGTAAAATAAATGTGAGTGTTTTCAGAACTTAATATGAAAAATGACTGTTTTAAAATGCATTTCTCTACAAATAGAAATGTGGAGAAATGGCTGATGAAAAGTTTAAACAAGTTTGAAAACAATCTTAACCTTAAAGGCAAATAAAAAGATGATATGATATTTTTGTTTGTGTAGATTATGAAACAAATATATAGATATATGTAAAGCAAATAAAAAGGTGGCTAAAGTTTGGCTTCTAGTTGGGGGTGATTTAAAACAAACAACTAATGTAAAGAAAAAGTTGTAATTTAAGTTGTATAAGCCAATTCATGGTTATGTTACACAATGCGTATGAGTTCCCTAACTCCATATGAAAAGGTGCTCTCTCTTTTTGTTCATGTACTCTTCTACAGACACACACACATACACAACGCTGTGTAAAAAAGATTGATTGGAAGTTAAAACTAGAAGTTATAATACATATAAAAAGATAATAAAAAGGTGGCTGAAGTAAGACTTCGAGTCATTGGTGTTGATTGTAAGAGAAAAGAACAATGTAAACTAAAGACGTTGATTCCTAACTTTCTGCTAAATGTAGCACCCTTTTAGTCTATCTCCTCTTCTTCACAAACAAAAAAGATCGATCTTAACTTACAAGTTTGAAGACAATCTTACCCTGTAGAACAAAGACTAATAAAAGGGTATAACTTCTAGTTAATGCTGATGCTAAAACAAACAACTAATGTAAATAAAATAAGTTATAGTTTCAGTAAAGTTTTAAATAAGGACGTTTTGTCTTCAAACACCCTCTCCTCATACATCTAACTTCAGTTTCACACTTCAAAGATTTTTCCATATTAAGTTGTTCACACTGAGTTGAATTGAAGTGTCTTCACTAATCTCTGTTTTGCTATTTCAGTTGTTTCCTTTGACTAACAGGCACACCCAGAGCCACCCATATCCAAATGATTCCTTGTCATTAGCTTGCACACATGTCAGTGAGCTGCACTATGGTGATTTCCACTGACTTGTCCTAATCAGAAAGGTCCTGTCAGGATATGAGTGAGTGGATAACATCTGACACTGGTATCCAACCCTGTGACCCAAACAGTAATTCTATGGCCACTGCGGAGGCCTCCTCTACAAGCATCTTCAAAAACAGGCTCTTTTTTTTTTTACGCTGGGGCTGGGATGGATGGATTGGGGGTAGGGGTAAAGCTCGTGAATTCCGGAGGGTGGGCTCTTTAGCCCTGCTGGGTGGAGATGGGCTTGTTGTTGTTTCATTCCTCCTACGTGTTTTTCCTCTTTTGCTCGTACCCGGGAATAACCCCTTGAGAGACGTCCCACCAGAGTAGATGTGAGATAAGATGGGGAGTTTCTCAATGGACGTACTATTCTTCAGGCTTGTTGTTATTGATCTACTGTGTGGCCTCGAGTAACCACAGCCTATGGTTAGACATGTTCTTCTCTCTAGAGTGTTTGCCTCATACTGGGGGACATTAAGTAGAACTGGAATATGAAGTTAAAACATGAGCAAACTTTTTTTTTTTTTGCAAGATTTCACCTTCCCGGAATAGATTTTACAAATTTTTTTGCTTGTTTTTTTTTTGGAATGACATACATTTTAATGATGTACATTCATGGCATTGATTAAAGTAATTAGCTTTAATAAAATATTAAGTATGAAAATGACACAAGTTACATATATGAATATAAAAGATAACTTTATGAAGCTTTACTTAAGTTTTAATATTGGCAGTTTTTTGTGCTTTATTAGGGCTGATGTAAAAGTTTTACTTAAAGTAAACTAGTTTGCCCTAAAAGCAAAAAAATGTCCTCACAAGTTCTCATTTTCTGTGTCTTTATTCCTTTATAACGCAGAAGAGAAAACAAGCACAATAGGTTTGGCTGATGCCTTCCTCAGTGTGCAGGCTCCAAACCTATCCACCATTTAATTATCATTTTCAGCACATCACTTTTTAAGCATGTTGGAAAATCTTCTGCAAAGTATCTCTGCTGTCTTCAGATTGATTTCCTACTGACAACTGCAGAGGACTGCACACATCAGTTTTCAGGTTTGTTTTTCAGGGTTTTCCAGTCACATTCCAAAGCTGTGAGTTCAGCTCTCCTCTGGTGCCCACTATGATGCTGGGAGGTAACTGGTCGTATGTTAGGAACATGAGCTCAAAAACAACATGTGCATGCATGGAAAAGCATAGAAAGTGACCATTACATTTTATTCTGTTTATAAGTTATTTTGGTCTCAGGTAAAGAGAGTTCAGGTCTCTCAGCGTGGTTGGTTGTTATTTCTGTAACAAAGACACAAGTTTATTCAGCTGAAATATAAACGAGACATCAAAAACCCGGATTATTCATTGGTTTGGAGTTAGGTGTTAGTCTGGGGTAAAATAAGACAGAGATATAGATAAAAGGGCTCTGTGTCTCTATGTTACATTGGTATTATGTGTTTACTTTGTATCCAATATAGGATATTGTCTTTTAAATAATTTAGTTTTAGTAACTTTGGTATAACACATGTCTGATGACATATACAAATAGACTTCTATTAAAATCTGAGCTGTTTTTTAAGAAGGCGAAGCTTTCTTGTGGCAGCTTTTGTATGTTGAGCTTTGAACAGAAGTTCTTTTGTTTGCAATGTAACGTTTTATGTAAGAAGTGTAACAATGTTTCGCCACTGCTATGACCAACTAAACTAACTAGTTAAAATGCATATTTTGAAAAATCAATTCACATGTTGGTTCCAGTTCTACAAAGCTACAAAATACAAGACACTGTAGCCTGTCCATGCATGTACACATGAAAATGAGGAAATCTACAAACTTGTAGGTCAACCAATGTATGTGATGTGCCTCAGTTAACTTTATCATTTGCTTTTGCACTTTCTTTCTTGCCTTGTTTGTTTTCCATGTTTACTTTTTCCCCCCTGCTGCCATGACGACACCAATTACCCCCAAAGGAATCATTAAAATTTAATTGAATCCCATCTAATCTAATCTCAGAGTATAATAGCCTTATGTAGCTTCACCAACCCGTTATGATGCACTTTTATCGCTGTTTATCAGTGTAAACAAAAGCGTTTGTTTTGTTTGCATACACGGGCTGCAATTACACAACGGTGGCCAATGCTGCCGGCGGTTGCGAGTCCGATTCCCCCTCTTCCCCGGACTCACAGGGCAGAAATTAGTAGCAAGAAAGCATGTAATTGACAAAGTCACGTGTTCTCACTACGGGAACGGGCACAGCCAGCTCGAGAGCGAATGAGAGCGAAGGAGAGAGAGAGAGAGAGAGAGAGAGAGAGGGAGACAGAGGGAGGAGAGAGAGAGAGAGAGAGAGAGAGAGAGAGAGCAGTACAGAGGTGGTGTGAGTGAGGAAGGGATTGAAGGGAAGAAAGAGAGACATGACAAAAATATCAAAAGGCAGAAAGCACGCCGTACCATGCGAGCTAAATTGGTGACCGATGGGATCGAGGATGTCGGATTAATGGTGACGACCGCAGCCCGTTTTCGCAGAGGAAGCTTCTCTATCGCAACTTGGGCGCAGAGGGTCCGCGGGGAAACATGGCCGAAGGTTATTCTGCAATTATTTCTTCTATTTTCTATGCTCTTAGTTTTTTTTTTTTTTTTTTTTTCCTCTTTTTTTCTCCTCCCTATCTGCTCGCGCGAGGGAAAGGAAGGAAGGAGGGAGGGAGAGAGAGAGAGAGAGAGAGAGAGAGGGAAGGAGGGAGGAGAGGGAGGAGGTGGGGGGGGCAAGGTGCAACGTGATTGTTGTTCCAAACCCCCCAAAAAAAAGAAAGAAAAAAGAAAGAGAGAGAGAGAAAAGAGACAGAAAACGACCTGAACCGCCCCTGCCGAGCACCGTATCTGAACCATGTTCCGCCGTATTGAGATACGTGCATTGTTAGCGCGTGCTGTGTGCTTGTTCTGCCCACTAGTAAAAAGCTCGAGGAAACCATGTGTAGTACACCTGTCTTTTGGATCCTTTAGCCTACAACTCCACAGCGGGCTGTAGATGCACGATACCCCCCAAAAAAAAAAATCCTCCACAAGTTGCCTGTGCGAGAAGCCGGAGGGGATCATCTGTCACGGAGTAACAAACAACTTTTTTTTTGAAGGGAATGTTTTGCGTTGATGCACACCGGATCACAGCACCACGCGCCCCTGGTCGCGTTATGTGCTGTAGAAAATAGTAGTATAGGAAATTTCTACCGGCCCTGAACTTCACATAGCCCGTGTTTGAGAGTGGAGGGGATTCCCCCCACGCTCCTTGAAGAAGTTTTTTTTTGTTTTTTTACGCAACAGATCCCGTTAAACTTATATAAACCGGTATGCTCGCAATGTGAAGAGGCTATTCTGTGCTGTGTCTCTGAGCCTAAAATGTTCTAACTTGCTTCTTGTGTGCTTTCACTCCCCCCTCCCCACACACACACACACACACACACACTACCCACTACCCCTTTCCACACCACCATCCCCTTGTTTCAGGAGGGCCGGGTAAAGGTGGCGGAGAAGACCCCGCCAAGTCCACCGAGCAGGAGGACCGGACTCGACCTCAGATCCTGTCGGGATCGGGCTTCTGCAAATGGTTCAACGTCCGGATGGGCTTCGGATTTATCTCAATGACCAGCAGCGAAGGGAGCCCCGTCGACCCCCCTCTGGATGTTTTCGTCCACCAAGTAAGTTGACGCCGAAAAAAAAAAAAAACCCACGCAAACACACGCCGAGGAATTATAACATCTGCTTTGTAGAGATGCGGTGCACATGGAGCCTCATCCGGATTTTGCTTCTTCTTCTTTTTTTTTTTTTTTTTTTTTTTCTCAAAACGTGGAACAGCTACGAATGATTGATTAGTTTTATTTCCTTTTCCAACAATTTCACTGTCAACTTCAAATCCCACCCTGAAACCCACAGGCCCCCTTTATATCTCCTCAGAGCACCAGTTACATTGTATCATCCGGATGTTTTGCATTACCCAACACGTTACTGTGTAATCACACGTTGTCCACGGGCTTGAAACACACACACACACACACACACACACACACACACACACACAAAAAAAACACGTTAAGTTTCCTCTTTGAGCCACATGCGTCCAGCCTCCCTCGCTCCCCTCCTGCACTGTAAAGGGGAGAAATATCGTGTGGCTGTGACACAGTTAGTTTCACACTCGGCCCCAAATGGACAACAGAACCTCGCCTGATATGCAGCCAGACAACATGTCGGAAAAGCATGTTTTAAAGAAAAAAAAAATAAAAAAAAAAAGTGTGCATACTGACGTGTGTTTTTTAGGGAGGGGGGGGTTTGGCTGCGTTTTCTTGCTCCTTGCTGGTGTTTTGTTGACGTAACATCCAGTTTGTTTAACCACAACATCCCCACATCCACGTTTAACACTTGTGGATGTGTGGAGCTTGGCCTGCTTTCCAAACGCAATGCACTGTTTGATTTATTGTGCAGTTCATTTCTGAGGGCCTTGTTTTTTCCACTTTATTCTGCAGCAAACAAAAGAGCATGGAGTCCTCCCTTGTTTCAGATCCCCCTTTCCCTCCGTTTAATCGCCCTTTTTTACGGTCCTATAAAGGGGCTTTAAAATACTCTGAGAGGAACGACAGAGGATGAGGAGAGGCGTTTCACCGTTTCATTTGACACCGTCCTCTGGAGGTGTCTTTATTGTGGGCTCATGGGATGTTGTGCTGAACTGGTGATGGGGGGGGGGGTATTAGGGGTCAGATGTCAGCAGTGATGTAGTGGTGAATAAAAGAAAGAAGGGTTCTGTGATCATTATCAGGCAAGCTAGGAGTGTTGAGATATATAAATTATGGTTTCACAATTTATGTCCCTTTCAGCTCATTCTTGTGGAACTTCAGTAACTTTGGTGGTATGATTTTTAAAAAAAAGTTGCATTCCAGTCTAAAAATAGAAAGTGGGACCTCTGAGTTTGGTATGGTTTGCTGAATGGAAGAAGGTAGATTTTTCCACCTATTTGTTGTACTTTGCACTACAATTATACCGCTTATTTATACATTTTTTATATTGCATTTTTTATTGCTTTTTTGATATGTCTAGGTTGTTCTCATTACTTCATTGTGTTGTTACTGTGTGTAATGCTGCTGCTACACTGCAATTTCCCAGCTTGGGATCAATAAAGTATATCTATCTATCTATCTATCTATCTATCTGGTTTGCAGTTATGAAATTAGGTCTTTTTAAATGGCTTTGTTTCACATTTCTCTGTGATTTTTGTTTCATTCACCTCCTTTTATTTAGTTGTTTTCATATATTTAAAATTTTGCTTGACTGGTGATTTCTGTTCATTATAAATGTCCTATTAACCTTATTATTAACCTGTCAGATTATATACGAATTTAAATTCTGCAGTGAACTCTAATGAAATCTAATTTGAGCAACTTATGTTTAAGCAGTATTTCACCCTTTGCCCCATTTTCTTTCTTCCTTTTTCTTCAGCCATTCTTTCTTTGTGTGTGGGTACAGTTGTTACAGATATGTGACCACTGCTGTGAATATGTGAACTCAAAGAGAGGTTTGAGAGTGCATACTGCAGCATTGAGTTATCTGTTTTTGATTGATACTTTCATATTGTGGCTCCAATAGACTGCATCTATCTACATACTCCTGGCTCTTAATTTCCCTGCTGGCCAGAGATGTTTTACAAGAGATGGGGAAACAGCCTGAAGAGCTGAGCACAAGTCAGCATTTGTAACCTATAGGACATGGCAGGCTGGTGCCATATAGGTCTCTGTGGGAATATGCTTCAAATGCATGATGTGGTTTGAAAGGCTCAGTCTTAACAAGGTATTTTCATCATAAAGTTGTAGAGATGAATATGGTTTCAAATCATAACTGCCTGTGTCTGCTCTGGATGATGATTTTCTTACATTTGGTGTAGCCAGACGCATTTTCATGTTTTAAAAATGCAAATTGTTCAACAAAAATCCCTTAAGATGAATTAAATAGCGTACAATGAATCATATGTTTACACTAGTGCATTTCCCCCCCAGTGTTTCCAGCTACGTGTTTACAACAATACAGCCGTCATTTAGCACAAAGAGCAGACACTATGCATTCATAAGCACATTGTCATATTGAATGCAAAACACCCCATTCCTTTGCAAGCATTTGCATTCTCTCTCTGTCTCTGCTGTCAGCCTGAAGCTATTTGGACATGTTAATGCTATTTCAAGGTGTTTAGGAAATGTTCAGATTTGAGCATACTGAATTATATGCAGGTTATCTCATATGTTGCTGCAGTATCTGAAACAGATATTTTGTATTAAGGAATATGTCTGTGAGGATACAAATATTTCATTTTTTATATAATATAGGCTGCTGAGAGAGTTTGGTTTGACACAAAGGTCATGCAATATTTTCTGTATTTATGATACAAGGTTAGTTGTCAGTTACTGTGAGAAAGAAAAAAAAAATATGTAAAGATTGCGGATTTGTTCCTGCACAACAGTTCCCCTATATGCAGGAGAGAGAGGCAGAGGTAAGAGTGATGGGGAGGGGAAGAGGGAGCATGAGGACAGGAGAAAGAGGGGGAGAGAGGAGGAGTTTTCCAAGGAGAGGGAAAGAGGAGGGATGTGGGAAAAATAAGTGTTGCTGAGGGGTGGTGGTGCAGGGTGGAGGGGTGGGGTGCTAGTGGTAGTCGAGGAGGAAAACATGAGCGAGAGGTTGGAAAAAGACGAGTGAGTGGAGGAGCAGGAGGTAAGAGAGGGAGGGTGTATGAGTCAGCGAGAGGGTCCCCGCCCGACCACGAGTTCTCTTCCTGGGAGGCCTCTTCATCAGGGCTCCTATCTGATCACTTCCTTTTGGAAGGTGTGTGTGTATATGTATATGTGTGTGTGTGTGTGTGTGTGTGTGTGTGTGTGTGTGAGAGAGAGAGAGAGTAATTAAGCTTCTTCACCCGCTATACCTCTCTGCTTAGTGATTCCACACACAAAGCCATTTCATTATCTCTGTTTGTCAACCCCTTCTCTACCTGGACCTGGAGTGTTTTTCTGCGCGCGTGTGTGTGTGTGTGAGTTCCTGCTGGGACACGGGGGGTGCTCTCTCCTCGGGCATTCTTTAAAAAGAGGAATTTCTTTAAAGACAAAAAGGCAGGAGGGTTGGGTGAGGGGGTGGGGTGTGTGCAGCGGTGAGGTGGGGGGCTGCTTGCCCTTTGTCGGTAATCAGTTTGAAATGTTGAACAGTTTGCTGCTGCTGCCGCTGCTATTCTCCTGAAACCTCCAGAGTGTGTGTTCAATTTATGGAGCCCCTGTGAGAGTGTGTGTGTGTGTGTGTGTGTGTGTGTGTGTGTATGTGTGTGTGTGTGTGTGTGGTTCTTACTTTCCACTCTTAACCACCAGGTTGTTGATGTCTCTACATGTGAACCATTGTAAGATGTTTTAGGTTTGAGTGTGTGCGTGTATGCGAGAGAGGGAGAGAAAGAGGGAGAGAGAGAGAGAGTGAGAGAGAGAGAGTGAGAGTGTGTGTGTGTGTGTGTGTGTGTGTGTGTGTGTGTGTGTGTGTGTGTGTGTGTGTGTGTTTTGTGTAGCGAGGTTAAAGTGGGCCCCTAGTGAGATTAACCTCTGGTCCGTGTCACCGTTTGGCATGCAGGCCCCACCCATCTCTGCCTCCAGATAGCCAGTATCAGGCTTTGTCTCTCCCGCAGCAACTCTACCCCCCACCCCCCTCCAGCACCTCCTCCACCAAACCCACCCTTCTCTTCTGCACATCAAAAAACGCAAAAGAAGAAGAAAGACCAGTCATGTGACTTCCTTTTGAGGAGCTGGCCACATACAGCGGAGATGATTGGTAATTGGAAAGGTGGCGGAGTAGAAAGCAGAGTAGGGCTAAAAACAAGTCGCAGTTCACCTGAAATACAAAGAGAGCATCTGCAGAGTGTCGGGTATGTTTGCGCCCTTCTGACATTTATTTAATTTCATCTGACTAAAAAAAGGTAAAAGAGGTGGAAACATTGGGCAATAAAACATTATTAAAAGTGAATGCAAACATATTCAGCAAGTATGTCAAAGACAAAGAGGGTTATCTCTGCACTTCACATTTTTGGATGTTTTGCCTTTAGTATTTCATTTAGAATTTATCTGTTATTTTTAACAGAATGTTTGGTAACAAAGATAATATAGCTGCAACTAATGATTATTTTCACTATAGGATAATCTGCAGTTTTTTCTTTAAAATGTCAGAAAACAATTAAAATGCTCTACTTGAGCTCAAGGTGACATATTCAACATGCTTTTTTATCTGTCCAGAAGCTATTCAGTTTGCTATTTTAAGTGTAAAAGAAAAGCATTAAATCCTCACATTTTAGAAGTGGGAACTAAAGAATGCGTTTGGCATTATTACTTGAAAAATGACAGAAACAATTAATTGATTTAGTTGCAGATTAGTTTTCTGCAGCTTATCAATTGATTGACTAATCTTTTCTTCTCTTAAAGTTAAAGGACAAACTAAAATTTAAAAGAATATATAGATATATAAGAAACGTTGAGAGATTTCTTTTGTCTTAAACATAGTTTGAAATGCAGCAGTAATGGGTCTGAATCATCCGCAGACAATTCTATTTAAAAAGGCAGAGAAAGAGATAAAATAACTTTTCAAAACATGGTTGTCAGTAGGCATAAGACTCTGATGATAAGAAAATAATGGTTTGAAA